TTTCATTTTTATATGTGATGAATAATGCACTTGATCTGTGCAGTTGATACTCGATTTCTTGGATGAAATTGTTCAAAGGCCCACTGTGCTATTGGGAAATTCTGTTGGTAGTCTTGCTTGTGTTATTGCTGCTGCAGGTGCTTTTAGCTCTGCATATGACATTGAAACCGAGTTATGATAATTATAATTTTTCAAGATTACGAGTATCCATCCGACATTTAAGAAAAGAAGTGAATCTTTACAATTTTGTAAGATAATTGAATGTTTTTATTTTTTAATTAACCAAATCTTAAGGTGCTTCTTTGTAATTATCATCTTTTCCTTCTTAACTTTTTTTCCCCACAAGCAGAGTCTAATAAATGTAAATCCCTCGTGTGTGGTCTCGTGCTGTTGAATTGTGCGGGTGGAATGAACAACAAAGCTATAGTTGATGACTGGAGGATAAAGCTATTGTTGCCTTTGCTCTGGTTTTTCGACTTCTTACTAAAGCAAAGGGGTATTGCTTCGTATTTATTTGAACGTGTCAGACAAAGGTAATTGACTCGTTTTTGTTTTTTTCATTGTGATTGCTAAAGCTACAGGTGAAGATATACTCGAAAGGAAAAAACTTAGCTGTGTTTTTCTAATTTGTGCAGAGATAATCTGAGAAATGTTTTATTGTCAGTCTATGGAAACAAGGAATCAGTGGACGAAGATCTTGTGGAGGTACTAAAAAAAATTTGAATTGTCAACTGCACAGAAGAGAGTAATACGGAAGAAAAACAATGACATTAATGAGAATTTCTACATCTTCTTAGAGTGCTAAAATTTCTTGTTTGAACTGAATTTTAGCTACCTTAAAAATACACACAAATACCTCTATCCCTCAACTACTTTACATTAAGACTAAGGTTGTGTTTGGTAAGCATATAAGTTAGCTTATAGCTTATTTGATTAGTTTATAATCTTTGTATTCAAATAAACTTGGTTTGGTAGGACGAGTTTTTTTATAAAGTTCAAGCTTATCTCATAAGCTTCTCTAAGTAGCCTTTCGAATAAGCCCATTGAAATTTTTATTTCAACCGCTAATTTTACCAAACACTTTTATCATATAAGCTAGCTTTTCAGCCATAAGTCATAAGCTATCAGCTATAATCTCGAAATTCACTTAAAAGCTATAAGCTAGTTTATCAGCTAGTTTTACCAAACATAGACTAAGTGTGCGCATAGCAAAATATTTGATAATCAAATATAATGCAGTAAAGCCAAGCTACTAATATATAGTCTAATCTCGCGAAAAATCGATCATTCTCTAACATTTGATTTGCTCTCGAAATTGCAGATAATCAGGAAACCAGCACTCGATGAAGGAGCCCTTGATGCCTTCGTTTCAATCGTCACAGGTCCACCCGGGCCAAATCCAGTACAACTTATCCCAAATATCACGTTACCCGTTTTGGTGTTATGGGGCGATCAAGACCCATTTACCCCAATCGATGGACCTGTTGGTAAATACTTCTCGTCTTTACCGGGCCAACTGCCGAACGTGGACCTGTTTTTACTTGAAGGAGTTGGGCATTGCCCACATGACGACAGGCCAGACTTGGTCCACGAAAAATTGCTTCCTTGGCTAGCCAATATTCCTGGTGCTTAAGACATTCATACACTGTATATAGATTGGATTATATTGACATATTTCATTTGTATTGTTTGTGGTGTTGTGAAATGATTATGTGTTGACATAAAGGGACTTTTTGTGAACCTTAGACATGTTCAGCTTTCACATTGCACAATGTTGTATTTATGTATGTTGATGGCTTTCCCAAAAAATTGTCACATTGGGATTATTTTTACTCTATTTGTGCTGAAAATTCATTGCTCTTGTCATTTATTTTTATTGTTTATTTTTTATCAATTATTATGGGACTTCTTAAGCTACTTACAAGTTGTAGGCTATAACGAATGACGTTCAAAATAATCAATGTTTAAAATACGCCAAAATATTGGCTTATACCGATTTTGTACAGATAAAATTTGATTTGTAAACTTTTAAATATGTATTGCGCCATAGTAATGATTTATGCAGATTTAATACCAAAAAATACTGATTTTATTGGAAAACGTTGGAAAACAATGGGATATACCAGATATTTGTAATATTTTTATTATTTTTTCCTTCTATGAAAAGTTCTATACTTAATTTTAATATCTTTACATCCTTAGATTATAATCAATTCTAGAGTTATTTAAATTTATTTAACTAATAATAAATTTATTCATTATGTGTATTGTAGTAATACATTTAATTAATATATATTAAAACAGGTTAGATAGTCGATAAAACCAGTTGAACCAAGTACCGGTGGCTTGTCCAATATAATTACCGGTACCATATTTAAAACTCTAATAATTATAATAATAATAAAAATAATAATAATAATCATAATAATAAACTATATATATCACTACAAGAAAATGATGAAATTCCAACGGAAATATATTCTAATAGAATTCCAACGGCAATTCCAATGGATATTTCAATGTTGTTATTTCCGTTGGAATTATTCCAACGAAAATTCTAACAAAAATATTCCGTTGGAATGAGTTTTTCATTGAAATTTCCTTTGGATTTTGACAATTTCAAAGGTAGATTTTCCAACGGTGGTGGAAATAAAAATTCCAACGAAAATTGCATATTCGAACAGATATTCCTACGGTCAAAAGCCGTTGGAATCATCAGATTCCATCTAAAATTCCAATGGAAAATACATTCCAACGGAAGCTATACCATTGGAATATCCGTTGGAATTTCCATTGGAATATATTACCATAGGATTTTCCGTTCAAATATAATTTTTTTTAGTGTATATATATATAAAGGTTTGATTATTTTTTAAATAATAACTATTTTCCTCTAAAAAAAATTATTTACTATTTCAGAAAATGAATTTAACAATTTATGATATATTTCAAATGATCAATTATGGAAATTGCGGCTCATTATTTAAGGAAGTAATTAATCCATATTTTAAGATGCTTTAATTACTCAAATCATGTGAACTAATTAATATATGGTATATAGTGGACGAATTTATTTTTGGAATTGATGGTTGTTTCCATGAGAAATAAATTAATCAATATATGGTATAAAGTGAACAAATTTATTTAGGTTATTTGATAATTGTTTTTTGTAAGAAATTTGTTGAAAATTAATACATACACGGTGTACTTTTCTCTGTAATGCGCAGGCTAATATATTGGTTTTTAGGCGTGGGCTTCAATTTTTATTTCAATTTTTCGCATGAAAATAACATAATAAAATTATAGTAACTCCTACAAAATAATATGAACTGATATTTTGATATAATGTGTGTATATCGATATTTTTTGTATAGAGAAAGCTCTGATCAATTTTATTTTTATTTTTTTTGTATAATCAGTGGGTATCGGTTTAGTTCATTTTCTGTTACGACATTTCAAATAATTTTTGTGTGAAATGCACTGTTCATTTTTTTTAGCATGATAAAGATTGTCAATGTTTTTTTGCATGAAAAATCTTATGACTGGTTGTTTTTACTCAACTACTTAAATTTTTTTATTTGGATATATTATACAATAGTAAAGTCATTTTAATTAATTAAACGATATAAGTTTTATATTTATATTTATTATTCACATAGGTTTTTAATATATGCTAAAATTTTACCAAAATAATTATTTTATAGAATCACGTTATATATGTAGTTATTATATTATGTTGAGTTAAAAACATTCCTTGTATAATGCTTTAGTTGATGTAATTAATGGCCAAATAAGGAATGATCATACATACATAAAATATATATTCTGTGTGTAGGATCAATAGATATATGTGCATGCTGCATCTAAAAGGTACAAGTTTATTAATGTGATACCATTACCATAGCGCGGAGAAAGGAGGAATTAGCTAGTATTGAGAATATAAATTATAGCGACATGACCATTGAACGGGCCAATCATGTAACAAGTTTCCTTTATGGAATATTTCTCTCTCTAGAGATGCGTTCTCCGAGTGAGAAGGGGGTTTAGGGTTTTCTCAGTTTTCTCACCTGCATCCTTCAAGCACACCCATCCAATTTCTTTCGCATTTCCATCCAACTTCTCTTGCACTCTAAATTTCGGCTTTATTCATTTCCCGGTAAGCTTATCTTTCGTATTTTCTTTGGATCCGTTGGCAATCTGCATTTTTCTTGTGGAGTTTATATCTGGAGCTTTTCTAGGGTTGTGTGGTTGGCTTTGGGAGTGGGTTAGGTTTTCTTCTTTTTTTGGGCTTTTGTTATGGCGAGTGAATTAACGGATCAACTCAATAAATTTGAGTTATCCGAGAAGGAATCTACTGGGGTGGAGTTACTAGATCTTGATATCGAACTTACGGTACAAGACTGTAAGCTCAGTCTCATTGGGAAGGTTTATGGGGATAAGAAAATAAATTTTACTGGGCTGAAAGTTACTTTGAAAAATATATGGATGACCAAGTCTCCATTCTCTATTAGATGCATTGGTCATAATTTGTTTCATTTTCTGTTTGAAAATGTGGAGGATCTGGATAAAATTCTTAATGGTAAAACTTGGTCATTTGATAATCAATACATTCTTCTTAAAAAATGGGTTCCTGGGCAAGTGGTTTTCCAAGAAGAGGAGGAAGTTATTAAAATGTGGATGCAAATCCACAATCTTCCACTCCATTGGGTAGCCCCGGAAACAGGGTACAAATTGGGAAAGTTAGTGGGGAAGGTTCTGGATGTTCTTGTCCCTGCTGCAGGCAGCTGGGATGGACATTTGATTAAAATCCTGGTGGAGATGAAGTTATCTGAACCGATCCCAAGGGGAACCAATGTCAAGTTAGGTCAGGAATGCAAGTGGGTTGATTTCAAATATGAACATTTGCAGACCTTTTGTTACTATTGTGGTAAGATAGGCCACAATGATAGAAACTGTGCCTCTAAGAAAGATGAAATTAGGAGGGGCATAGTTAAGCATAATCAATTTGGGGACTGGCTTAAAGCTACCCCAATTAGCTTTTTAGAGTCCAAAAGTTTTACCTCCTCAGCTGGGGGCAGTGCCCAAGGTAGAAGTGGAGGGGAGGAATCCGTGAGGAATGAACAATTAAATAGTGGGATAGGAAAGGTGGGAAGTTCCCAAGAGGTCATAACTAAAAATCCTGATAAAGGGATCATTACCTTAAGGTCAGAGGGTCAGGAGGAAGCCTTAGGTTTTGAGAATTCTGAGGGGAAAGATAAAGAGGATAAGAGTGTAGGGGAGAGAGGGGTTGTTGAAAATGATAATAATGAATCCCAGTTAATGGACATCACTGTCCAAACTGACATCATAGAGGGAAGGGTTTTGCAGAGGAGGAAGAAAGCTTTTGTTAGGAAACACAGAACTCAAGGGAAAGTGGGAATAGAGAGTGCTGAAAGTAAGGATAAGAATGGGATAGAAATAGATGAGAGGGAGACAGAGAGTCTTAAAAGAAACTTTGCTAGTTTGGTAGGTCTTGAGCAGGAGGATCATGAGAAATGGGGTGTGAATAAGAAAGTTAAAAAATCTGAATTATCTGAACCTTTGGTGGAGGAAACCAGCCATAACTGGTCCCAAGGTTATCAATGAAAGTTTCGGTGTGGAATTGTAGAGGATTGGGAGGACCCTCTACAATTTCCCAAATCAAAGAGTCTCTGAAGACTCACCTCCCAGATTTTCTTTTTTTATCTGAAACTAAGGAAAAAGAAAAATTTGTTAAAACTGTGTGTAGGAATTGTAAGTTTGAAGATAGATGGACTGTAGTTAATCCTGTTGGGACTAAAGGTGGTCTCTTATTGTGTTGGTCTGATAATATTTTGGTTGAACAGCTTTTGTGTAGTGAATTTTGCATTGAAGTGTTGTTTAAATTCAAAAACAGTGACATGTCTCAATGGGGGGTTTTTGTTTATGCCAGCAACATTCCTTCTGTTAGATTAGCTCAGTGGAATTTCTTACTGAGACATAGTCTGATGTGGGGAGAACACTGGTTTTTGGGAGGGGATTTTAATGATATCCTCTTCCATCATGAGAAGAGAGGGGGTTTAATGAGAGAGGAGGGTAGTTTTAAGAGTTTTAGGACTTTGGTGAGAGGACTGGGAGCTGTTGATAGTAAAGTGATTGGGCATCCTTTCACTTGGTCTAATCACAGACAAGGAGTGGATTTCATAGAAGAGAAACTAGATAGGTTTTTCTTCTCCCCAGAGTGGTTTAGAAAATTTCCCAATGCTGTGGTTAGACACATCCCCCTTCTCTCTTCAGATCATTGCATGCTTCTGTTGGAGGTGGAAGGGATTGTGGCCAAGAAACCTAGAAGGTTTTTCTTTGATAATAGATGGACTAGGGTGGAGGGTTATCAGGATGTGATTTCTAATGCTTGGAATATTCCTGTTGGTGGGTTTAGTTTGGTTAGTATTCAAAGCAGAATTAGGAATGTGAGAAAAGCTATCCTTGGATGGTTGCCCTCTTTTCCTCATAATTCTGCTAAGGAAATAGAGAAGCTGAAAGATAGAATTAGTGAGATTGAGGAGTTAGGGGCTGATAGAGACTGGGAAGGGTGGAGAAATTGTAGGAATAGGTTGCATCTAGCTTATAGGAATGAAGAAATCTTTTGGCACCAGAAAGCTAGAAACAATTGGCTAAATTGTGGGGACAAGAATACAAAGTTTTTCCAGGCTTCTGTCAAGAATAGAAGAAAATGCAATGGCCTGGATAACTTGTGTAATTCTGAGGGCATTAAATGTAGTAGTGAGCAGGAGACTATTAGTGTGCTTGAAGATTATTTTGCCAACCTTTTTAGAACTTCTAACCCATGTGTTGATAGTTGTAATCTTGAGGGCATTCCCTCTTCCATATCTCTGGAAATGAACATAAAACTTACTGAAGCAATCTCAGAGAAGGAAATTAAGGAAGCCCTCAATGATATGCATAAGGAAAAAGCCCCTGGGGAAGATGGTTTAACTGTTGGCTTTTTTGTTAGCTCTTGGTCCATTGTTAAAGATAAGGTGGTTGAGGCTGTCATTAATTTCTTTAATAGTGGGAGAATGCCTAAAGGGATAAACCATGCAATAATAACTTTAATTCCCAAAAAGAAAAACCCTTCTCTTGTGACTGATCTGAGACCCATAAGTCTGTGTAATGTCATGTATAAACTCATAGCTAAAGTCCTTGCTAACAGAATTAAAACTGTCTTGCATGTGTGTGTTTCTCAAGCTCAGTCAGCATTTGTCCCAGGAAGACAAATTTTGGACAATGCTATCATTGCTAATGAGTGCATTCATTTCTTAAATAGTAAAAGAGCTGGTAGGGATAGATTTATGGCTGTTAAGCTGGACATGTCCAAAGCTTATGATAGAATTGAGTGGGGATTTTTGGCTAGGGTTTGCATTAAAATGGGTTTTTGTCACAAAGTGGTCAACTGGATTCTTGCCTGTGTAAGTACTACCACCTTTAGTTTTAATGTGAATGGGGTCAATGCTGGTTTTGTTAATGCTTCTAGAGGTCTCAGGCAAGGGGATCCTCTATCCCCTTACCTTTTCATAATTGTGTCAGAGGCTTTCTCTAATTTAATCTGTCAAGCTAGGTCTAAAAAGGTTTATCAGGGGATTAGAGTCAGTAGAAAAGCTCCAGTTATTTCTCACTTGTTTTTTGCTGATGATTCCCTTTTATTGTGCAAAGCTGATGCTAATCATGCCAATATTATCTTGAATATCCTCAAAGAATATGGCTCTGCTTCTGGACAGTGTGTGAACTTGAGTAAATCTTCCATTTTCTTTTCCAAAAACTCTGATAATGCCACTATTTCTGGGGTGTGTAATATCCTGCAGGGGGTGAAAGTTGTGAAAACCTCTAAATACCTTGGCCTCCCTTTGGGGATAGGCAAAGCTAAGAGAGAAACATTTCAGTTTGTGTGTGAGGCAGTCAAAAACAGAATTTCAAATTGGAAAAATGTGTATTTGAGTGAGGCTGGGAGAGAGATTCTGATCAAATCGGTGATTGGAGCTATCCCTACTTATATTATGTCTTGCTATAGGCTTCCTGTTTCAATTTGTGATGACATGTGTAAAGAAACAGCAAATTTTTGGTGGGGAAAAAAAGATAATGGGGGGGGGGAACAAGTTACATTGGGCTAGATGGGATAGGCTAGTTTTAGCTAAAGGGGAAGGAGGGTTAGGATTCAAGGATTTAAGAGCTTTCAATGAGGCTCTCTTAGTTAAGCAGCTATGGAGAGTAATCACTATGCCTAATCTTTTGATGAGCAGGGTCATGAAAGGTAAGTACTTCCCTAAATCTAGTATCTGGGGAGCTAAGGGCAGAGGGGGGGACTCATGGCTTTGGAAATGTTGGTTAGGGGCTAGGAAATCTCTGAGGTTGGGTACTAGGTATAGGATAGGGGATGGCAGAAATGTTAACATGTGGGAGTCCCCCTGGATCCCAGATATTGAGGGGTTTATTCCTCAGTGTAAATTTGCTGTGGATAGGGATAGATTAGTTAAGGTCAGGGATCTCATGGGTGAGGGTGGTCATTCTTGGGACAGGGAATTGATAGGTCAGACTTTTGATCCTAGGACAGCTAGAGCCATTATCAATATTCCTCTTAATGCTTTGGGTATGAGAGACAAATTAGTGTGGCATGGTCAGAAAATAGGTATGTTTGCTGTTAAAAATGCCTATGATCTGATTCTTAAAAAAGGCAGACAGGGACATAGAGATAAGGGTTCTAGTAGTAATGAGTGGCAGATTAAGAAAATGTGGCAGGTTACTTGGAAATTACCTATTCAGAATAAACTTAAAAATTTTTTATGGAGGTGTTGGTTTGAGTTTGTTAGTGCTAAGATGCAATTAAGGAAGAGAGGTATGGGAGCTGAGGTGACCTGTGAACTATGTGGGGAGGGGGAGGAAGACTTGAATCATATTTTGTTTAACTGTAAGAGGGCTAGGGTTTGTTGGAGGCTTCTGGGGGTTAGCTGGAATAGGATAGAAAATGGGGATACTGATTTTGGGGTGTGGTGGGCTGAGATTTGTAATGCTTCTAAAGTTAACCACATGATTGATAGAATAAGTCTCTCTACATATATGTTGTGGTGGCTTTGGAAGACTAGGAATAGTTGGGTGTTTGAAAAAAAATGGATTGGGGAAGTGGGGACAGTCCAAAGGGCTGTGAATGAGTGGCATTTGTACAAGAGCAGTGTTAAAAGCTGGAAGGGTAATGACAGGGATAAGGGTAATGGGCTGAATGGAGAGGAGATAGTGCAGGTTAGGTGTGAGGAGCTGATCCAGAATGGAGGGACAGAGAGTGGCTTTGAAGATGGGATTATGATTGCTGTTAGTTGTTGGAAGCAAAATGGCAGATTGGGGATGGGGGGAAGAGCTTTTAGAGAAGACAATGACCTACAACTATGGGATGCATCTAGGGACTTTCATGGAAGTTCAGTGGAGGCCTATATTGTAGCAACTATGTGGGTGCTCGAGGAGGCAAAGAAGAAGGACTGGAAGAACATCATTTGCTATGTTGACTGTAAGGAGATGGTGGAGTGGATACAAGATTTCAGAACAAATCAGAGAAGGAGGGAGGAGCAGGCATATGCATTCAACCTTTTGGTGACTAGTTTTAACTCTTGTATTTTTAGTTTTAATGCTAGTATTTGTAAAGATTGCAACTTTCTAGCCAAAATGGCTATCCAAGGTGATTTGTAAGTGTTTTAAATCATTCTGGGGTTCCCAAACATGTGTGTGAGCTTGTTAGGGGAACCATGTGCCTAGTTAGGCCTCGTATTGTAAGACGTTTATTGTTGAGTAATTTTATCTTGTTTGTCGTTGGAAAAAANACGAAACCACCCAGAAGGGTGGGGGTTAGTCCAGACAACCAACCTATATATATAAAGGCCCTAGATGGGCTGGAAAGTCACAGATCTACAAGTCCAATATCTGAAATAAAACAAGTCAAACGAAAAGGAAAACCAAAAAAGAAAAAACAATAACAAAAAGCTGGCAATAACCGCCAGTAACACAGCTATATTGTCTCCTGGTCCGAGTACAGTCCAGGAAAAAAAGTCAGTATCACGGGAGGGCGGGTGCACCAAGAGGTAAGACCGGCTACCCAAATCTGAATGAGGAGTATCCTATCTGGTCCATCCGTATAAGGGTGCGGAGGCAAAGACGAATATCGTCAGGATAAAGAATGTGTCTCTGGAGGGTGGAGGACCCGATGCCTGCGAGGAAGTCAGCAGGGCGGTTCCCCTCACGGAAGATGTGCGAGATCTGATAGCGAGTCGACCGAAGTGTGGCCCTAATACGCATGAGTGGATGCTGAATCTGCCATGTGCTCTGATGGTTAGTGGTCAAGAGAGTGATGACAGCGGCAACGTCCAGCTCTATCCAAATGTGAGAGGAGATCGAGGTAGCAATCTGAAGACCGATCTGAAGCGCCTGAATCTCAGCGTCGTAGCTCGAGGAGGCCCGAAGAGGGGCATGAAAAGCGGTAATAAGAGCCCCGCTATGGTCCCTACACTAGTGGAAAAAACACTTTTAACATCGGTTAAAAATCATGTTTACATCGGTTAAAACCCCTTTTTGAAACCGATGTTGAAACAGGCGATGTTAAAAGTCTGCTCTTTTTACATCGGTTTTGAACCGATGTGAAAAAAACGTGTTCACATCGGTTTTCAGAAAACCGATGCCATAAATATGAAAAATCGATTTGATGAAAAACTTTTTACATCGGTTTTCATAAAAAAACCGATGTCATAACATTAGAATTCACATCGGTTTTCAAAATAACCGATGTGAAAAATGTTTATGTACACAAGTTATTGATAAAACGTTGTGAAAATACTTAGTGTGACATCAGTTATTACGAAAACCGATGTGAAATCAAGCATTTTTCAACGATTTTATTTAATTGTATTTTTTACCTGTAAATCTAAAAATCTAATACCATAAAATAATAACATTCATACATTCAAAATATTCCCACAATTCAACATGTTACATGACAAGTACTAACAACCAAAATATTTCAACACCAAGTTATAACAATAGTTTCATAGCCATCGACCACAATTTGTCACAAAGTTCAAATTCCATAAAACATAAACAAACTAATAAGTCTATTTTCCTAATGAAGTAACCTCAAATAAAGTACTTCGTCCACCGCCTTTTTACATTCTCAATGTCCTCGTCCAAATACGGCTCATCAATGCTCAATGCCTGCATGACAAACAAATATTATCACTATAACTTGTATTGAAGTGTGTGAGTTCGAATACTGTAAAAGGTTGATTTTAATAAAAAGTTACCACTCAAACAAGTCAGTAATATCAATGATATAATCTCGAGCATATGCCTCATAACAAAATATCCACATGCTTCATCTCCCAATTGTGTTCGACACTTGTATGAAAAAAACATAAAACTATCATTTATACTACACAAACTAAATCGATGCATCCAACCAACAAAGTAATAATAATGCTCCAAAATCAAAACACTTAGCATAATTCAATAAATTTACCTTAGGTTAAACCCACGTCGACTTCTCTATTTCATAGTTATGTTTTCTTTTTAACCTGTGATATGTATGAAAAGCATTGTAACACAATAAATATTCATATAACTAATAGATATTCATATACCATTGAAAGACAAAATAAGCCAAAATATAAAGGATAAATATATTTGAAATAGATTCAACAAAGTAAGAAAATTTAACTACAAAAGCGATTTAATCTATCAATTTAAAAACATACGTATTAATTTTGTCTTTCAAGTCTTTCTTGGGTCTTCTCAACAAGCACGACCAAACCACAACATTTTGTTTGGGAGAAAGCATCATCAATTGCTAATGTTCTCTGCCAATCCAAAATAAGAAGATAAAAGTATTTAATTGCTACACTATTTAATTTGTATGTCTATATATTGTTATTAATCAAAATAAAATAAACCAAATCAAGAAAAGAACCACATTGTGGAGATAAAGAAAATAGGAAGAGCCAACAATATTAACTCATATAACATATAACTTGAACAATTTTCAGATTATTCCTACGTTAGGTGCTAAACTTTTTCTAAACAGAAATGAGAGCATTAATAAGCTAGCATATAATTTCAAGAAAATTATGAGTTTCATGAAAGCATTCGTAATAATTGATTTATAAAGTGAAAATCCAGGGATTCATTTGTATTTGGTTTTGATTATAAGATTTGTTTGGAATAGAAAAATCACCTGACAACTTGTTTGAGAAGGAAATAGGAGATTGACTTGGTGAAAAGCACAACTCCACACTAAAAGCACATCTCCACCCTGAAAAAAAAAAGAAAAAAAAGGAACCTACAGCACTAACAGAAAGGCTTAAAAGCTTTACACCCTCTCTGAACAAAAACTACTCAAAAGCGTATACAACAAATATTGAGAACCACTCGAAATAAAGGATATAATAACAGTTTCCCTAGCTCAGTAACACACAAACACAAACAGAGACAGACGACCCCAACAAAAGCCAACCAAACATCACTTAGTCTTGTCACATATAGACACAAACAGGTAGGCCTACTTTGCATGTCCCGAGAGTGGTTATGAAGTGGGCCCCCCGCATAAGAGGACTCTGGCCCACCCGAGGACTGGCGGTTCCGTAAGCAATTGCGGGTGGAGTTAGGTGACGGATAGCATGTATTTTGGGGTCCCTCTTGTGGGGGATGCCGATGAGGGACGACCAACCTGTAAATTCCAGGCTGATAGTGGATGTCGGCATCGGGTCGAGGTAAGCAAGGATAAAAGTGAAATGTATTCAGGACAAGAGGTGGCAAAAGCCATTGATATGGTGGTTTACGAAGAGTTGGGCGAGGGTGTGATATACAGAGCTCAAAGATTGAGTGAGAAGAGGAAAGCAAGTACAGAACGAGAGCTGGATGAGACAGTGGATCAACTACGGAGGATTTGTATGAAGAAGCTGACATGTTACTGAAAAGGAGAAATTGTACCTAGGGGAATCACAGTAGTTAAAAAGATTAATTTAGTTATTCTGATTTGCTTTCCAGATCGATTTTCGTTTACCTGTGGTTTAGTAATAATATTACGTACCGACAGTATGTTTTTCTTAGTCATTTTGTGATGTCAATCCTTTCTCGGAGGACCAACAAAAAATTTATACAGAAATCAAAGATCAATTCACCAGCAGAGACAACAATCATACCAAAACCCTTTAACAATTTCAAAAACCAAGAAATTCAAATCTCAATTTTGGAAACTAACATTTTACAGAGTCAAAGATCAATTCACCAGCAGAGACTTAAAACCCTAACAAAAGTTCAACTATTATCAATCTAAATATAGGTTAGTAAGCAATTAACCACAACTGAATTCAACTAGCAAATGAAGCAATCAACAATTTTAGTTGAGATGATTTGTGAAGAACGTATTACCAAAAAATGGCAGGCGGTGGTGGACGGACAACGGGCGGCAGTCGACCAACTGCTTTCGTCGAAGGTGGTCGCGTCTGGCTAACGGTCAACAAACTGTGGATGGTCCGGAGAAGAAAGGAGTGGCTGCGCCGGGCTCGCTGTCAACAAACGGCTGTGAAGGTGCGGCGGCCAGTGACGATGAGAAGCTGAAGGTGCGACGGAGGGTTTTGAGAGCAATCGGTTTTCTTGAGAGAGAGAGAGAGTTCGATTTGGGCTTATTAATTGATTTTAGGATGTTTGAAACATCACTTTTGGGCTGACTTCACATCGGCTTTTATTAAACTGATGTCTATACACAGGCCCGTACATCGGTCTTTTTGAACTGATATTGTAATTAATTTTTTTACATCGGTTATACATAAAACCGATGTAATAAGTGTAGCCTATCAAATCGTTCACATCGGTTTGTAAGAACTGATGTGCCTAATGAAAATTTATTTACAAAAATACCACCGCCTTAGTTATTTACATTGGTTTCGGCAAAACCGATTTCAACATCTGATGTGAAAAGTATTTTTTACATCGGTTTTGGCAAAAACGATGTAAACACCCGATGTGAAAAGTGTTTTTTCTACTAGTGCTAATCAGACCCCTGCCGCCTCCGGCGGCTCCGGTAAGTCGGTCAAAGGATCCATCAGTGTTCAGCTTAACCCAAGGAGGCTCGGGTCTCAGCCAAACAACAGCACTGGGCCGTGGATGCTGGACAGACGACAATGGAGGTGGTGCAAGGATGTGAAGAGGCGTGCAACCTGTCCAGTCTCTATGCGTGAGTCTGCCCAAAGAAGTGAAGAGAGATAGATGTCGATCAACCTGCAAAATAATATGGGAAGACAAAAAGAGTTATCCCTATGCTTCACATTATTCCTTTCTGTCCAGGTTGCCCAAAGGATCAGACAAGGAATAAGGAAGCCCACGTGTCTATCGTGTGTGCTATGTCTGAAGAAACTCAGAAGCTCAAATAAATTATCTGTGGAGGGTAGAGATATATGAGTGAAACTGGTATAATGCTCCCACACTCTCCTCACAGTCTCGCTCTCAAGAAACAAATGGCTAAAGGTCTCAGTCTGAAAAACGCCGGTCTCAGCACAACAGTAACAACGTGAGGAGAATGAGAACCCCCTCGTCTGCATCACTGTGTCAATCGGTAGGCGGCACAGAAGAAGGCGCCATAGAAAAACAGAGATGGTCGGGGTAAGTAGGTCGGTCCAGATAGCCCCGAAGAGAAGGTTAGGTCGGTCTTCTAGCCGTACTTCCCCCCAAGCCGAGGTCGTAGAGAATGCACCCGAAGATGTAAGTCTCCACCTCATACTGTCCAAACCACCCTCCGAGATGGGTATTTGCTGGATCTCATTTATCTCCTGGTCACTAAAGCCCGCTCCACTACTCAGAATCCTCTCTAACCTATCCCTATCCCATCCCCCTGTTAGTGTTATATACTGAAACCTTGGCTTTACATGTTATTACACATTTGCCCTTTATGAATGAGAATCGTGTTAGATTAAACAAGTTCTACGTTCTGTTGTTCTGCATTTAGATAGGGTGGGTCATCATCGGGCGAACCGAAAATCACTCTATCAGTTACTTGCGAAAAAGAAGCGTTGTTCACAACCCAGATAGACATGAACACCCCATCCGAACGGTTGTAGTGTCAATTGTGCAGTTTGTCTCGACTGATTAGTTGCACTAGTACATTTATGTATTGAACAAGATCCCAGAGAGGAGAAGTTCATTTTATACTGATCGTCGTAAATGAACTAGGCCTCGGTTAATTACTGCGTTCTCTTAACCCGTAAGATATTAAACAAGCAGATATATATAATATATATTACTTTGATTCACATGGGTGAGGTTCAGTTCACTGGATTAATATTCTTACTGTTTTGAGTAATATTATTATATATAGGATGTGCTATTAGGACATTTACGGTCACCATGTGCATTAGTTTGATGATGTCCCCGGAGTGAGTTCATGAAGGATTGTTATGCTAAACCCTGCAGGTGGATTAAGTTCCGGCATAATAAGAATGTGATGAACGAGCGCTAGCTTCGGTGAAATAATAATAAATTCATTAATTATTGATTACCAGTAATCGAATTAATTAATAGACATTATATTTTAAACGTGGGGAGGTAAATCGAGTAATTATTATTGGAGTCTCAAATGTAATTTGGGCTAGGAAAAAAGGGAGTGCAATAATATAATGTTGGTGGCCCATTAATATTATTTAATTAATTAGAGGAGTGAGTTTGACCCACAGTTAGTCTAATTAATTAAGGAACCCTTTTCTTAATCTCCTAAGGGTCCCTATTGTAGCTTTATATATACATCATTAAGTTCATGAGAAGAGAAGACATCTGTCATATACAAACACACGCCCCACGCCTCTCTCTCTCTAGATCTCATTCGAGCTTTATCTTCTTCTTGTTGCTCCACTTATAGAAGTTGAAGAAAGGTGTATTGAGTAATACAGTAGAAGATCTGTAGGTAAACCGAGACGAAATATATTTTGTCCTACAGAACTAATCGGAGGTCCGATTGAGACGCACAGCATACCCAAACGACCGTCTCGACAAGAGCTTTCCATTGCCGGCTAGATCTCCGGATTCTGACGCGGCATGCGCCACCAGAAGCGACGGGGGGTGCTCGAAAACTGACACCGGATAAGAAGGGGAGCATGATCAAATTCAATTCGAGGGAGGTGTGTGACGGTCGTGACCGCAAATACCCTCGTCCATGCCTCAGATACTAAGGCACGGTCGAGCCTCTCCTTGACTCTGGCCCTCTCCCACGTGAAGGGTGAACCTTCATATCCAGCGTCGATTAACTCACAATCTGCCACTGCTTGAGAGAAGTCTAAAATCTCCGCCGAGCGGTCCGACTGACTACCAATGCGCTCATCAGGATGAAGAAAGATGTTGAAATCACCGCTAATCATCCGCGGTGATCCTTCCATGCTCTCAGCAATCTCACGCATGGTGTCCCACAGATCACAGCGACCAACCCTCGCACAACTGGCATAGACCAGAGTGTGGAAGATTGGTTCGGGGAGATGGGCAGCAGAGAGCTCAACGTGTACAGATTGATGATGAATGAGTGTACAGATACATAGAAGATTAATGAGATGTAATCAACTCAGATTGATGATGAATGAGTGTACAGATACATAGAAGATTAATGAGATGTAATCAGCAGGCCTGCACTTTTGGGTGGTGAAAACAGTGAGGCACCAAAGAGTGAATGCCATGTGACAATTTGTGATGATGATGATGATGTATTTTCCAGCAACTGTTGATGGATCGGCCTTTTTGACAAAGGGATGGTCGAGAAGCATATTGGATTTCCACCTGGCCGTTGGATATTTCACCAAACACTTTGTGAGAAAGTCTTTAGCCTCTTTGGATATTCTGTTGTTCGTCGGAATCTGGGGAATCTATTCACTGCATCCAATCTTGAAGAGAACATCCTTCGGCTGGGCCTTATTGTCGAAACTCCACGGTGGTTTTCTGGTGAGCATGTGTAGAACCGAGCAGCCCAAGGCCCAAACATCCGACTCCGGCAAGTACTTCTGCTGGGCTATCGACTCTGGGGCCGCATACATAATTGTGCCCCTAAAATCATTACAACTACTATTTCGTCGAAGCTCGTCTTGCAGCAGCTCCCGAGATCCGCCAGCTTGGCGTCTTGGCCGACGAGCAACACGTTGTGAGGCTTCACGTCACAGTGAACATAACCGGCCTTGTGGATGTGAAGGAGCGCAGAGAGTATGGATTTCGTGCAGCGGCTGACCGTGATTTCTAGAAGGCCTTTTAGGATGTGATCGGCAAGGCATCCACCGGAGGTGTACTCGAGCAATATGTTTAGAGTTTTTTCCCATTTTCGGTCGTGATTGAGTCCCCAAAGCAGCGGAGGATCGAGGGGCATGACTAGAATTTGTCGAGCAACTCCTTCTTCTTCTTCAGTGATTTGGATTCAAAAACTTTGGCGGATTTCACGGCAATCAACGGCCGTCAGATTATTATCTTGATTGGTTTTGGCGATGGAGACGAAACCGAAACCACCCTTTCCGAGAGTTTCTCCTCTAACCCAACCCATTCTCTCTCTCTCTCTCTCTCCGATTCTTTCTTTCGGCGTGATTCTTACTCTTTGTCAATTGTTTTCTCTCAAGGCCAACTCTCTCTTTAACTCTATATATATGGTTTTAGTTTGAGTAATGATCAAGACTTCTTCAAGTATTTAGGGCCAAAAGTGCGTAGGTTTTATATGATTTTGCCGAACTATCCTCCCTCCTCATAGAAACTTCTCTCCTTCCAATAAATATCATTTTTAATTCTTGGAGATATTTTTATATATTAAAAAAATAAAATAAAAAATGTTGTATATACAACATTAGTAATATTTAACATGGTCAGCTGAGTACCACGTTGCGAGGCCCGTGCCGTTGCACCAACCAGGCCTGCCATTTCAAACTCTCTTAACCAAAGCCCAAAAGCCCAATTTTGGGCCCAAAAAAGAAGGTTTTAGCCCCATATAAACAATCGCTAGGGTTTTGCTCCCATTTCTCATCTGCCCGCTATAAATCACACGCGAACACAAGCACACAGTGCGAGCAGCTGCAATGGCGCCCAAGCGGACAACCCGAAACCCGGAGCTCATTCCCGGAGTCCGTAAGGTATCACGCTCCAGGATGTATCACAAGCGCGGCCTGTTTGCGATCAAGGCCAAAAACGGCGGCAAATTTCCGCACCACGAGAAGGCTGCCGCCGCCGCTCCTGTGGCGGAGAAGCCACCCAAGTTCTACCCGGCTGACGACGTCAAGAAGCCGCTTCTCAACAAGCGCAAGCCTAAGCCCACCAAGCTGAGGTGTAGATTTGTTTTTTAGATCCGTTGTTCCCTTTGAATTGGTTATTACAATGATGTGTTGTATTAAGTTGATTTATGTTTTTGTGTGTGTGTCTGTTTGTTTATTTGCAGGGCCAGTATCACACCAGGGACGGTGTTGATCATCTTGACTGGACGGTTCAGGGGGAAGAGGGTAGTCTTCTTGAAGCAGCTCACTTCTGGATTGCTTCTCGTTACTGGTAAGGGTCTGCGATCTCGTGTCTATTCGTGTTGCTTAATTATCACATTATACTTTTCGGAGTTGAGGATCTTATGCTTAATAGTTGCAAGGTTTTTTCATGCATTGTCTCGATTGTTGTATACGGAAGAATTAACACTAATGCTGAACCGATCTCTTTTTATTACTACATTTTACTGAGCTGACTTTCAGGTAGCTTCATTTTTGTACTGTGCGTAATTCCTTTCATTTGTGAGCTTAATCCTTTTCTGAAAGTTGAGTCTTGATTGATGACCTCGCTTTTTTAGTTGTACCGCTGGCATGTATCTTCTTTAGTGAATTGTAATTTGAATTGGTTTCTGATTAGCTTAGCTGTTTTTATCGTTNAATTAATTCTCGTATGGACCAAGTGATTACCAATCGTCAAATATCGAGCTCCTTTTGTTGAAGATGTGGTTAAGTTTGTCTTTCATGGACAACCTCCACTTCTCCATTGGGAATGTTCTCATATCCTATCGCCTTGTGGAGCAGGTTACTGCTATAACCTCTTGGGACTAGCCATGAGAAATACATATAATGATTAGTAATCTATCATTAGCTAATATGTATTCTTGATTTCCAATTATACTATACGAAAGCTAGTTTCATTGCTTATTTGTTTGGTTTTACTCACTGATCTTTTAACTGCCACTAAAGAGTAAAAAATTTAGTTACTATTGGGCTGTAACATTGCTTGTGATTGGTACCGTCTCAGGTCCATACAAGATCAACGGTGTACCTCTGAGGCGTGTGAATCAGGCCTATGTTATTGGAACCTCCACAAAGGTTGACATTTCTGGAGTAAATGTGGACAAGTTTGACGACAAGTATTTCGCCAAACAAGTTGAGAAGAAGAAAAAGAAGGGGGAAAGTGAGTTCTTTGAAGCTGAGAAACAGGTCTGTTATTCAACTGGGGCTGTCACTTTGTCCTTTTGCTTTATATATAATGTAATAATGCTTTTTTCCAGTCTTATTACATGATGGTTTTGGATGCAGGAAAAGAATGAACTCCCTGCAGAGAAGAAAGAAGACCAGAAAGCTGTTGATGCACCTTTGCTAAAGGCAGTCGAGGCTGTTCCTGATCTGAAGACCTATTTGGGTGCACGGTTTTCCCTCAAGTCTGGCATGAAGCCCCATGAGTTGGTCTTCTAGACTTTATTTTGTTTAATTTTACTGTGTGTTGTCCTCCTTTGAACAAGTTTTGTTAGAGATGGTGAGGATACACTTCATTTGGTATAAACGTACGAAGTTTTTGGTCATGATATCTTATGGTAATCTTTATAATGCAGCGCCTTGTTGTTTTTGATTTTAATTATTTTTGTTGAGTTTCTTTAACTCAACCACTTTTTTTAACTCAACTCCACTATCATTAATTTTATCAATATAATTAAATAATATTAATCAATCATTTTTACACACAACATCAACCTTAATTCACTATTCATCAACTCACATAATTTTAACTAACCATCACATCTTCTTTCTCTTACTTTTACATCAAATTAATTTTAATTATTTTATTTTAGATATTATTTTAATTTATCCACTAACAACTAACGATACTAACTTTTTCAAATTTAACCAACTCAAACCAAAAAATCCAATCAAAACCAAAAATTTTTATATCCAAGCATACAGCCTCCCATCCTTTTTTTTTTTTGCTTATCAATGAATGTATGTTCAAATAATTACTTGCGAGAGTTGCATTTGTTCATTTGGTTAATATTTACTTTGAATTTCAACAATTACTTGTAACTACAGTGATTGAAACTCAAGCAAGTGCTTGTCTAAAACATAAATTACATGATCTAGCGACCATCAACATACAGTATGAGAAATTGCAATTGATTTTATAAAAGTAATTAAAGTAAATACAAAACTTAATTTGTTTGTTATTATAACCCAATTGGACTGGGTGCTACAACAAGATATCATAGGATTGCTAAGATACCAATAGCATGCACTTACATAATAAATAGTCTACATTTAGTTCTTACGGGAAAAATAGGTTTCACTAGAAACCGTTGATTTCAAGAGACCTGCAAACAATTTAGAGATAATTACCCTCTGTACGATCCCATAATTCAATATGTCCCACTTAACGAGCTCAATAACTTTTTCGCACATCAGGTCTCCTTAAGTCAAAATTATGAATTTCAACATTCCACTTTTCTGCCTCTAATGACCTTGAATTAATAATTAATTGTCTGAATATATCTTCCCCCAAAACACGCAACAAACCTACACACACGCATATTGAACAAAGCAAAAATTGGAGTGGGCGAATTTTCTTCATGGTCATCACTATCGCACCAACAAATCCACGAGAGCTTCATCCCTGTCCGACTCCTTTCTCCCGCCGTCGGCGCCACCCCACCGCCTTGAGTCTAATCGAAAAGTTGTGCTTTCGAGATATAATAGAAAAGGTTTGTGTTACTAAATTATCTGAATTCAAAGATGTGATTTACTGATTTAGGGTTTAGCAAATTTTTTTTTTTTCTTTGTTATTATGGAAGTTTTATAGGTTGCTCTTAGATCAATAATTTACTGTATTCGGGTTTAGAAAAATGTGTTACGTTTATTTTCCTAACCTATTTTGAGAAATTGAAAGATATTTTATTGTGTAAAAACATGACTTTTTTTGTATTATGTTTGAGTTATGTGTCTTTGAGTTTTCTTATCATCTAATTAATTATTTCTGTGTATCTATAGGGAAGAGATCAAGAACTGGATATTGGTGCCTTTTATGAGGTCATGTGCGAATCCAAAGAATAATAATGCATCCTCTCTGTTTGGATTTATTTTTAATTTCTTCTCAAATTTCTTTTGATACTTGAAAAAGTGTATAAACTTGATGTAAACGTGGGAGAGACATGTTTGAACATTCGGGATTTGATGTTAGTGTGTGATATATTTTTGAACACTTTTAAGAGTTAAATTGATGGTGATTTTATAATGGTTATTGATTTTTTTTTTAATAGTTATGTATATTGATGGGTTTTGTTTCATTTTTATTAGTAATTCTGTTGTGTTTTATATTTTTATTTCGTAAATAAATGTTTGGTTTTCGTGTGTATAAGAGTATTGATGTTATAAACAATGAAAATAAATTGCATATAAATTTAGAGTCTGTATTCTTGTATAATAAACTAAAAATAAATTATATATAAATTTATAGTTGTTAATCTTTTATTGGTTTGTAAACATATAGTAAACTAAAAATAAACAAAATATAAACTTACAATAAAAAAATAATTGGTTTATAAACCTAATATAATCTAAAAATAAACTAAATATAAACTTACAAAAAAGAAAAAAAAAACTGGTTTATAAACCTAACATAATCTAAAAATAAAGTAAATATAAATTTACAATTAAAAATATTAGTAATTTGGCACTAAAAAGCTACTGCCTTANTTTTTTTTTTTTTTTAAAAAAAAAAAACCTTCCTTGTTAAACCTTTACGGGGCGTGCTTTGCGGTAATATCGATGAGGTAGGATAACTGATTCACATGCCTTTTGCATTAAAGATTCGTTCTGTTGGAATTTATTTTTATGGGAACACAATTGTATGAAAAATATTTTTGTTTCGTAGATAAGGCAATCTGTAAATTTCAACTCGTTTGTGCGTCTTTTGGCCAACAATTTATCGAGACTAATGTCATCCGAAATTTCTCCTTCATGGGCGTGGCTGAAGTTTCTTAGACTGCAAATATAATAACTTGTACAGTTGATAACATTTGATTTCTGGTTTGTTTTAGTAATTGATTTCTAAATTGTATTTTTTTTATATATGACATAAATTGTGATCATTATCCAATTTATATTGATAAATTGTGATCATTCATCAAATTATTGAATAAAATAGTATGACATAAAGCAAAATTTATCATGTATCAGTAAATATAAAATGCATCACAATTCATATATGTATGTTATATCATTTTACTACATTTGTGTATGCATCTCAAAACATAATTGTTACAAACATATTTTACATTCTCACATCTGCTAACTATAATGCTTTTCGCAGGCTTCTTCACAGCTCTGTATGGATGATATGACTTCCCTCATCACCACCATCATTAGCTTCATCTCTCTGTAAGCTAACCGTATCTTTACCGTTGGGTGGCAAAAGGCAATCAGCCGAGGGCTGAACGAGCCCTCGTTCGTACCCATAAACCGAGTGGCAATAGGTCTCGACCGAGCCATTTGTCCCCTGCAAGTCGATGTCTTTGAGTAGTATGCCAGTGCACGGGACTGTATCACTGCAAGAAAATGTTATGGCCCGTTTTGTCGTTGATGTCCCGGTTATGTCACGGTACACGATGTTGCTTATTTCCAGAGCCGAAGTCTAGAAGTTAGGAGAAGAGTGTTGGTATATAAACTTCATCCATGTCAGATATTAAGAATCAATCAAACAAAATAGTGGAAGCATGAATTGAAGTTTTATTTGTTCATTGGTTCTTTGTTCTCCACTTTCATATGGATACATACTTCCAAACGATCAAAAACTTATAGCAGATATAATTTAGCAGATTGTGTATATGTTGAGTAGTATGTGCTGTATGCTTATAAGGTTTCGATCGTTTGGGGTCATAACCAAATAAATAGTATTTATTAATTTTCAGTTCGGTCCCTCAACAAACAGAAAATCTTATAATGGTATCTACACTTTTAAATCCATAACAAAGAGTTGTGATGAAAGTGCTCGGTTTCTTGTGGCGATTGTGAAAAATGTACTAACGACTATATTGAATGATAGATTACCTGATTTTTACAAGATTTTGGCGAGTCGCAGTAGAATTGGTCGATGATGATGGGATTCGAGACCTCCTCCATGACCACATTTTGATACTTTACGTTCGTCACGTGACCGTTACCTCCCTACAAANAAAAAAAAAAAAAAAAAACCATGATGAATTTCGAACAATCGACAAAATTTGGCTGAAATTAAACGAGATCATTTGATATATAGTTTGTTAATTCACCTGCCAAGTTTTGATCCGAAGCCCGTTTGTCGCATTCTGAATGAAAGCTGTTTCGAGTACGACATTCTCAACTATACCGGTCGAGTTATCCTTTCCGAGGCTACCTATGCTGGTTTGCGTAATATTCATGAAAAAAATTAAAAAAATAAGTGAGTATAGTATACATTGTTTCGAGTAAGTACGTAAATATGCTCGTTTTTTTAACCTGATTCCATGGCCGGGCCCACAGTATATGTTCTTCATCTTGATACCCGAGCTGCCGGAAACAATTGACACACAATCGTCCCCTAAAAAGGATAAGACACACGTGACAAGGATCGTTCGTTAGCTTGGATGCTCACATTTTTTTGGCAATTTTTGAGGTCTAAAAAGTAAAAACGCGCGAAAAAACCTGTTCCGATTTTGCAGTTTCGGAGAATGACATTTGTTGATGCGCTTATGTGAATTCCATCTGTGTTGGGACTGTCTCCAGGAGCCGAGACTAGAACATCCGAGACACGAACAGAATCGGATTTGGATATGATAAAGTTCATCTGTTGTCCGTTTTGGATCGTGAGGCCTTTCACTTTTACGGCCGAGCTCGATTCTATGGTTAAGGCCTGAAAAATGTATGTACCAAATTGTAAATAGCAAATTATATCATAAACAATTTATATTGGTAAAAATTTCTGCTGAGGACTGACTGATCAGAATCTCACCGTTGGTGCTCCTACGCATGGCTGATGAAGTCGGAAAGAAAATAAACAAAGTTAGTAAATGTCATTCAATTTCGTAATCATCGTCATACATTACTATAATGTTTCGAGATTTCTTTACATTGCTTTTGTTTCTCTTGCATGAATTTGCCCACCATTTGCTGCCTGAGCCATCAATAACACCAAGCCCTTCAAAACTGGCTTTGCTGAGATTGTAAAAACCGAGCCAAGTTCTCGGATTTTTGGGATCCCAAGCTTTCGGGTCATCAGGAGCCACAATCTTCCCATCTATCTGAACCCAAACACATTATTAGGTTCATCGATCATCGATGACACATTTGTTCTAATGGAAACTTATTAACAAAAAAAATAAAAAATAAAAAAAAAAATGCTTTTAGAAACCGAATAAACTAGCATAATATAACCGAGAACAAAAATTTACCTGGATCGTTAACTTGCCGGCACAAGGCCCTTTAAACCTTATCGCGCTCACTAAATAAATACGATTTTCGGGAACCAACAGAACAGAGTTTGATGCAGAGCAAGCCACTCCCCATGCATTCACAAAGGCCTGAAAAAAAAAAAATAAATAAATAAAAGATTCTTGCTTTTTTCATGTTCCCAAAATAGAAAAAAAAAAGTGTTTTAAGGCAACAATTTTCAAATTTCACCTGAGTGTCATCAGTCAAACCATCCCCAACAGCACCAAATGAATCCACATTTACAAGAATCTTACCAACATAGCTTGAATAATCTAAGGGCTCAGATTCAAAATCGTCATCCCATAAATGATCCTGCACGTCCAAATCAACGTGCTCGGCTAAAAAATCGAGCCCATCCGGGAAATCTCTGTCCAAACTTTCGATGGGGGCTAAAAGCAAGGATATGATGAAAAGGACGATAAATGTCAGCTTGTCCATATCTTTAAGGATGTTTTTTCGGTAGGTATATTAGTCGATTTTTTGGAGGAATCAAGTGAAATGCAAAACAGGGCTATTAATACATAAGCATTGGTTCAAAATTTTCTTTAGATTTGACTTTGCTTGAAAGGATATAAATGTGCCATGAAGAGTCCTTCAAATGAATAAAACTTGAAGTGTAAGATTTTTTTTTTTTTTCTTTTTCTTTTTAGAAGTGTGCTTTACTCTTAGAGCAAGTGGTGGAGAAAACAAATAGGCACTTAGCTAGTCAAAGCTGATTTCATGATGGGTAAAGAAAAGAAAAACAATAGAAATAATGTATAAGAAAGAATGTATGATTATGTATGGTTGTTTCTAAAGAAATTATCTTTTCAGACAGTTTATGATGAGTCCTTTGATGATCATCATGCTTGTGGTGATTGGGAACCAGACATTATATGGAGCTCTTGATACGTGTAAGAAAGAATGTGAGAGTCCATGAAAATCAGTTATTCTCAAATTTTCTTGATGTTTATTAGGGAAAGAGTAACTTAATATAAAGAAATTGTTGTACATTGGTTATAAATCAATTATTATTATTCTCAAACTGAAGTTTTTTTTTGTGAGTATGACAACAGTTGTATGTATATCTGTTGAAATATTATGGTTTTTAGCAACATTGCTATTTTATAAAAGTTGTTCAAATTTTGCTTATTTTATGAGACAAACAATTTTTTAATGAAAATGTATATTTATATTAAAAATATCTTACCTATAAATAATATATAACAGTTATTTGACAAGTTTAAAAAATTATGATAGAGTTGTATCCAATTTTTATCAAACAAGTATGAAAAATTGATCTATCTAATTAAAGTTAACGAGTTAGGGTGAGTAAGCATTTATGTTTTGGGATTGTATTTACGTTTTGGGATTGAGATTTTGTTATTCTCATAGGATGGACCGTCTTTTGAGGTATGAATATTAATGATTTGTTGAAAATTACAAAAAGTAAAGGCTACAAACAGAATTTTCATCACGACTTTGTTTTAGTGATCAAATTTGTTTTAATCAACAAGCAAGCAAGGTGTTGAGTGTGTGATGCAACAAACTTTTTATTATTACATTGGAGATATTGTTCCTACTTTCTAGTAATGGTTGACACGGTTTTGTTATGGAACCATCAGATGATTCGATTTATGAAGTCATTCATAGTTATCCATAAATGGTATATTGACACGTGTCCTGCAATAAATATATATTGGACACGTGTCAAATCTCATACCCCTTATTTACTCTTGATTTTATAAGTTGCTTTCCTTAGCAAAAAAATATTTTCCAAATAAAATATGCATATATTTGTAATATGATGTTATATTTTTAAAGAATAATACAATTAATAATGACATTCACAATACATATATACAAAATAAAAATTTACGAAAGATTATCTCACCAGATCATTAGATTGATTTACAATAATGTTCCTTGTGATAAAATTGGTTTTAATATCACATCATACAAACTCTTATTATTTAATAAATATGTAATTTTTTACTTTAAAATATTATAAATTTAATAATTTTATCATTTTATATTTTTTTCTTTTTTTTCTTCTAGGATATCTATACTTATATTATAAGATTTAACATTTATCATATTTAGTAGGTCAATATGTAGTCAACAGCCACTTTGCATTAAATACTTTCCCAAAAAAGAAACTTCAATGTCCTTTTTACACGCCTATGTTATGTCCCTTTCACACGGTTACTTAACAAATTAATTATACAAATTATTTATCATCAAATCTTACCATTGTACACGGCTTCCAAGATTCCTTATCCCATTATCTTTTTTGGTTACCACCTTATAAGGAATAGATAAGCACAGAATATTTGGTCATTGATAAATTAAAGAAACAAATTTTCGAAATACTAGGTGTTAATAAGGAAAAGATTTTTTATGATACACCATATCAACAGAGAAAACGTTTGAATGACTGATATTTGTTCGGATATTTTGATTTGAAAAGTCCACACGCAACAAATTCCCAACTTTTTTTCATTCCGATTAAAAAGAATCCCATAACAATAATACTTTCATCAACAACGATATATATATACATATTCTCATTACCACCATCACGCATTCACCATATTACAATCACATATTTTAGAACAAAAAAAACCCTCTCCGATGGATCAAGCATTTGGGTTAATAGAAGAAATTAACAGGAGCAAAAGACCAATGCTTAAAGTTCGTATTGTCAGGATGTTTTATCAAGATAAGGGCAGCACATTCAAGTCGCATCTAGAGCTTATTTTGCATGATAGAACGGTAAGGATTCCTAATCGATTTCAATTTTCTGTATTTGTTATTTGTTATCTATACTTATATAATAAGAATTAACATTTATCCAAAATAGTAGGTCAAAATTATGGTCAATGTCGGATTTGCATTAAATATTTTCTAAAACTGGTAAGTTTTTGTCATTTTCACACTTCTCATTAATTATGTCCTTTTCACACTTCTCATTAATTATGTCTTTTTCATACTTCCCATTAATTATGTCCTTTTCACACATCTAATTAATTCATTAATTACACATAATTATCATAAATCATTCCATCTGAGCTTTTATCGTTAAAATGTACAGCGATCTGTTATGACCATATCTCATCCTTATCTCATTGATATTTCCATGAAGCGTCCTTATTGCGTTCTATTTTTTTGGTAACCACTCTATATCAATAACCGGATATTTGGTTAATGATAGCACACGTCTTTATTTCAAGGAGCGGATATTCTTTGACCTTTAATTAATCTGAACTGATTGCCTGGACTTTTCAATTTTTAAAAACTCTTTTTTTTTTAAAATATTTCGGCTTAAGATTTGGATTTCATTATACAAGTCATCGGATTGTTTGAATGAAAATGAATGAAAAGAACACCAAAAACAGATAGCCTTATTCATATAACCAATCCTAAAATATTAGTTTGTTCACCAAAAAGAGACAAATCTTAGAAATTCTAAAATATTAGTTTGTTCACCAATTGTAAAATATTAGTTTGTTCACCAAAAATATTAGTTTGATTTTTAGGATTTGTCTCTTTTGAAAATATTAGTTTGTGATAATGAGGAGTTACCAAATAATCAAACTCATAATGTTGTGTACAAGGAGGTTTTTAATAATATATGATTGTTACCGAACTTTTTATGATTCAACAATGTTCCTATGCATTTTAATGATTTCAATTTCGATCCTAATGCACGTGAGGTTATATTATATTATTCTTCTAAATTTTGCATCCCGTGCATCGCACGGGTTACGTACTAGTTTTTCTATAAATGATGTAACATATAATTTTTAACATTCTATTTCTATTAATTGGATGGATACTTCTGAGGCCCAACCCATCGATTTCAACAGAGTCCAAACCAATCTACCTAATGAATGATGGCCCAACCCATTTCATATACCATAAGCTCAGTTTTCTACTGTATTTTAAAACATTGGGAAATTTTCTGTTCTTGCGTTACTCGGCTCTATTAGGGCTTGGTTGGCACTGTCCGTTCTTCTTGCTCGAATGAATTTTGCCGATTTTTGTAGCTGAAATTTTATCATGGCCTCTCTCTTCAAGGTAATTCTGATCATGCCTTTCACGTAATTGTAGGAGTAATTTGAGATTTCTGTCAGCTCCCAGTTTGCATTCTTATATCAATCTCAACCTTGTAGTTGAATTAGGGGTTTGAAGCAAAATTACGCTGATTGCAGCTAAAAGATTGATGTCATGGTTCCTTTTGCTTGGTTATTGTTCAGCATCATATGTTTTAAGCTGTCCTCCGATGTTTTTTTTTAAATGAAAATGTTTGTTGTTATTGAAGGATCCGAACAAGCTGTCTGCATATAGGGATAGAAGGTTTCCTGGGAATCAGGAAGAGTTTGACGAGGCTCTGCAAAACTCGACCACTCTTTATGTGGGGAACATGTCGTTTTACACTACCGAGGAGCAAGTTTACGAGCTGTTCTCTCGAGCTGGAGAGATTAAAAAGATTGTCATGGGTTTGGATAAGAACAGCAAAACACCTTGTGGCTTCTGCTTCATAATGTAAGCTTGTCGATTGGTATTGTTTTTAGTTTAATTCCTGTAGAAATGAAATGCTCGTCCTACGGACTTCATGCTGGGCCTTCTGATCTATGAATTGAGTTGTGTTTTGAGAGTTTGTGATTTCTTATAGGTAGGGGAGGCAAATAGGTGTTACTTTGTTTCTTGTCCTGCTTGATTCTGTTGAATTGAAAGACATTAAGATAGTTTGTGGTATTTGATTCATTTTAAGTGAGATAGCTGGCCCAGGCAGATGAGGAAAACATCTTTAAAATCTTATTTTCAACGCATGGTGTTTTTCTTTCCTCATTTTCCATTTCAGAAAAAAATATAACCGTACTTTTGAGAATGAGAGGAACAATACTTTGATTGGGTTTCACACGTATCAGGTACTATTCAAGGGAAGATACTGAAGATGCCGTTAAGTATATTAGTGGGACTATTCTTGATGACCGTCCCATTCGCGTTGACTTTGATTGGGGTTTTCAAGAAGGCAGACAATGGGGACGTGGTCGAAGTGGTGGACAGGTATTTTTTTTTTCTTTTGTTTTTGCAGTGAGTTAATCAAAGTATCGTTCTCATAAACGATTTGTTTCTCAGGTGCGGGATGAATATCGTACAGACTATGATCCAGATATCCTCCCTATGCATATTATTTAAATCATTATTCTTGAACTTGGAATGTTTGATAGTGTGACTGCCCAGCTGAACGTTTTAGCCTTGGGACGTTATTACCTAAAACTGTTTTTCCCCTGTGCGAGAAGGTTTTAAATGAGTTGTACTCTAGAGCGAAGTATCATATTCATATGCAGGCAAGTATTTCCGTGTGTCCAGGAATTGAGTTTAACTTCCTGAGTAACATTTGCTAGAAGTTTTTTAACGTCTATTTAAATTTGTATGATGTCATTTCATAATTGCCTTATCACAATCATTTTGAATTTGCTCTATCATGCCATCTGTCCTATCTTTCGTTGTCTACTACATGCATATATGTTTATCAGGATTCATGCAGAAAAAGGTTAATAATTTATGTATGGGAAATCGAGTCACCTGAATGTTGAATTCCTTAACTAGTCATACGTAGAGGTGGCTACGGGAAATTAGTCCAAAAAGAGTTGGAAGCACAGAGGCAGCTGGTGGACTATGGGGCTGGATCATTGGGTTCCTTTGCACCTATTTTACCTCCTACATGTGAGTCATTAGACAACTTCAATATTTATTCCGTTCTGTTTTCTTCGTCGTACGTGGAAAACTTAATCTCAATACTGGATTTTAACTGATTGTACAATTCCAATATTTCATACAAGTGAATTTATCTCAAAGACATCTTATCCTCGTTTTTTGAACCTCTAATAAATAATTTGGAAGCATCTTTATTTACGTTAAGCTGATTACAGCTATACCGTTGTTACTTGTTACATAATTACTTTTATAATATTCAGTGACAAAGACTTAAGAGTAGTTTATTTAAGTCTGTAATATTTATTCACCATTGAAAGCTGATCTTCAAACTCGTTTAGATGGTAGGCATGGTGGAAGTTATGGTCAAGGTGCTTCGTACAGACACGGCAGAGGAGGTATTATTAGTGCTTAATTGGTCTTTATCATTTTATTCTGCTTGTGGAATTACGCAATTGATGCTGTGCTTTGGGATTACAGATTTCCATCGTAAACGACACAGAGAAGATGACCGTCGTGCGCCTGATTTCACACGGAAAAAGTCTGACTTCGTGTACCGTAGAAATCCAGATGAACCGAGACCGGTAAGCCTTTTTGTACTTTTCTTTATGTCCATGTACTCAAAGCCAGATTTATTTCTGTTCTTTTTCAATCTCATGGATAGATACCATGGGTCCAGTCATCATTAGTTGTGATTTCTCTTTACAAGGTGTGTGATACAAATTTGTCAACCCATAGACATCAAGTGGGTGGTATTTGCAGCACTCTAAAGTGTTTTTCTGTTATTTATTTATTTAATTGAAGAAGAAGTGAAAATGTATAATTCCGTTTTACAGGAGAAAAATCCAAGGTTCCGTGAGAGTGGTGATTCTGATGATGACGATGAAGATGATCGTAAGCAGCATACTTGAGCAATTTTTGTCTTTTGCATTTTAGAAGTATATGCTCAGTTGTTTCAGAAGGTGTTGTCTACCTGGTTGTATCAAAGTGCTGTTGCTGTTTTTTCTTTCGTGTTTTTGGCTTAAAAAACTTTGTGTTTCATCAGTATATCAAAGGGCCGATGAGCTAAAACTGCTCCAGATTAGCCCTAGAGCCAGCCATTTCTTCCCTTTTGGGGTTCCATATTGTGTTGTATCAATGCACAGTTATTAATTATTATTTAGTTGGTACTCTTTTTCTTTTGCCATTTGAAAAAGGAAAATTGTTGGTTGAGTGCAAATAGAATGAAAGGTAATTTGATTGGCCCCATGAGACAAGCTGGGACCATTCCATCCAGTTGCTTTGTATACAGTAGTCCTAGGAATACACATTTGGTCGGAACCGAACTAAGCCGTTTGAAAATTTGATTTTGTCGATTTCTGACCGAACTTGTTTGGTTTGTTCAGTGGTCAACCCAATTGGGAAAATCAGCTTTCATCACAATGCAAAGATTCTTTAGTCATTAGATGGAAAACAACTTAAATTTAAAGAAAATAAAAAATAAACAATTATTTTTGAATGCATGGGATCTAGACATCTCGTTATATCTCTTGCTTATAAATAATTAAAAACTTCATGCTGTCTAGGATAATAATTAATAACATTAATTAATCAACATGTAAGTAGTTTACACAAGTACACAGTATAAAATATGGGCCAATTTAAGTAAAATGATGTGTGTTGTTTAATCACCAACAAATTTGGCATAAAAAAACTAGAGGCGTGAGAACGGACTCGAGCAAATTGATAAACGAAATCGAGCATTAACAAGTTAAATTATAGAAAATTACATAAAATTTTATATTTTCAAGCTTAAACAAATTAAATAAACTAGCTGATATGAACTCGAGCTATAGCAAGCCGAGTTTACTCAAATCGAACTCACGAATAACAAATCCATACTTTCGAACCTAAACGAATTAACTAAATGAGTTGATGTGAGCACAAACCTTACAAGTCGAGTTCGAACCGAGTTCGTGATTCAAGCTCGTATTGATCCTGTTTGGCGCCAATTTATTATTTCAGCTGCGAGTGCGGGTTAATCACCTGGGGGCTGGGAAGAACCCCTAACCTCAAAACCCTATCATTTTTCAGTTCGCAACAATGGACATAGAAATCGACGCCCCTGATCAAATGGATTTGGATGAATTCGCACCTAATCCAGCTCACAGGGAGCCGCCTGTAATCCGCCGCCTGGACGAGGCGGTGGTGAACAGAATCGCCGCCGGCGAAGTCATTCAGCGGCCGGTCTCCGCCGTGAAAGAGCTCGTCGAGAACAGTATCGACGCTGGCTCCAGGTCCGTGTCGGTATTGGTTAAAGATGGTGGCCTCAAGCTCATTCAGGTTACAGATGACGGCCACGGAATTCGAGTATTCACCTTTTTCTCAATTCTTATAAATAAGGTTCTCATTTGTTTTTCATTTTCATTCTAAAGTAGTTATATGTTTGTATATGGTGCGTAGTATGAGGATCTGCCGATATTGTGTGAAAGGCATACGACCTCAAAACTGAGTAAATTTGAGGACTTGATGTCTATAAAATCAATGGGGTTCAGAGGTGAGGCCTTGGCAAGTATGACCTATGTTGGCCATGTGACGGTCACCACCATTACCCAGGGTCAGTTGCATGGTTACAGGTAATTGATACTGTACCTTATCTCTTAATCTGTTTGTGGGCTCACCCTATATAGAGCCATTTGTCCGGATTAGCTACCGTCAAGTAGGTTCTTTTATGCAGAAGATTTTTTTTTTTTTTTTTTTTTTTTTNTTTTTTTTTTTTTTTTTTTTTTGGCGATATATGTCCGGATTAGCTTTTTGGCGATATTTGTTTTTTTGGACTTGTGGCTTCTCTGGTTATCTGCTAGGGTTTTCTCTATATTACAGGGATAACTCCCCATGCTTGCAAGTGTAAGTGTGATCTCATTTTGTCTCTTTGTCAGGGCAACTTATAAGGACGGTACCATGGAGCATGAACCTAAACCATGTGCGGCTGTTAAGGGGACCCAAATCATGGTCTGTATCTAACATTGTTGCCAGTTTTTCAATTATGATAAAATTTTGGTTGAATTGTCTGAGATATCAGGTATCTTTAGATTAGTTGCCCATAGAGTCATCCATCAATCCATCCTTTAAACCCCATTGCTACCTTGTGATGGGATTTCTTTGGCAGATTGAAAATCTATTTTATAACATGAGTGCTCGGAAGAAAACACTTCAGAATTCTGCCGACGACTATCCCAAAATAGTTGATTTAATATGTCGATTTGCAATCCATCACACCGGTGTGAACTTCTCTTGCAGAAAGGTATGTCATTAGCAAGGCGCACTTTAATTATATCTATTTTCAAGAAACAGAATTATGTACTTATAGAATACATTTTTCTCTTAGCATGGATCTGCTAGAGCAGATGTTCATTCAGTTGCTACATCCTCAAGGCTTGATGCAATCAGATCTGTTTATGGGATATCAGTTGCTCAAAACCTTATGAAGGTTGAAGTTTTGGGTGATGATCCCTCAAGTTCAGTTTTTGAAATGGAGGGTTTTATTTCAAACTCTAATTACGCTGCAAAGAAAATAACAATGGTGCTTTTCATCAATGGTAAGTAGTTTCCGTGTGTGAACCTATGTGCTTGCTCTATTTCAATCTTTTAAATCTCAGGAATATGTTTTGCTCCTTCCAGCGGCAAGTTCCTATAGTCTTGTCTATTCATCAAAAGGTTCATATTGGTCTCATTTGTCGCATCATTTGACATTATTTAGATAGACTAGTGGAGTGTGGTGCTCTGAAGAGGGCAATTGAAATTGTTTATGCTGCAACATTACCAAAGGCATCCAAGCCTTTCATTTACATGTCAATAAAATTGCCACCTGAAGATGTTGATGTGAATGTACACCCCACAAAGCGAGAGGTGTGTGAAAATTTAAGTTTAACAGCTGACTGGAATTAAGTGAAACATTGGCACGCATTGTTAAGGGTTACATTATTTTCTGCATAGGTAAGCCTCCTGAGTCAAGAAGTTATCATTGAAAAGATACAATCTGCCATTGAGTCAAAATTGAGGAACTGTAATGATTCACGGACATTTCACGAGCAGGTATTTTGGGTCTTTTATATATTGTCACAGCTAATCCTCATTGGTGCACACTGTTATGTATGTTTGGTCGCCTTTCTTGTTCTCTTTCACATATATGCTCCTTGTTTGAAGCAGCGAGTGGAGTCTCTATCTGTTCCTAATACTGTCGTTAAAGACTCCCCTAAGCACCCGTCATCTTCAGGTATCGTAAACTAATATTTCCCCTTTTTTCTTCATTGTCTCAGTAGTACATCTGTTTCTAACATTTTACTCTGTTAAGGTCTTTGCATGATTTCTTTACCTTACTTGTCAATTTTTGCAGGCTCAAAATCTCACAAAGTTCCAGTGCAAAAAATGGTACGGACAGATTCTCAGGATCCTGCGGGAAGGTTGCATGCATATGTGCCTGTTAAGCCTTCAGGCCAACTGCAAGGCAGTCCTTGCTTGGCCTCCGTAAGGTAGTGCTTATCTGCTCTTTGTTTATCGGCATAAAATCTCATTTATTTAATTGTCAGAGGATTGAGAATTGACAATCTCTCTCTCTCTCTCTCTCTCTCTCTCTCTCTCTCTCTTTCTCTTATTGCAGATCTTCAGTCAGGCAAAGGAGAAACCCGAGGGAAACTGCAGATCTCACCAGCCTTCAGGAACTTATTAGAGACATTGATTCCAACTGTCACTCTGGTCAAGTCATGTCCTAGCTAGTAACTGAAGTTTCACACCAAATTTGCAATTGATCCTAACTGACTTGTGTATTATAGAGTTGCTGGACATTGTCGGGCATTGCTCATATATTGGGATGGCAGATGATGTTTTTGCTTTGCTGCAACACAACACTCACCTTTATCTTGCTAATGTGGTCAACCTGAGGTAGCTTTTCGCTTCTTTTGTTTCTTTCTTTCTTTCTTTCTTTCCCCTGTTTTAACTTTTCCCAATTGAAAGAGCTCACATACCATATCCATAGTGAAGTCCATCGCTGAAAGCTGAAAACTCACCACACGACAGATTTCATTGCAAGTTATGATTTTCCTATTTGCACTGGCAGCAAAGAGCTTATGTATCAGCAAGTCTTGCGGCGTTTTGCACATTTTACTGCAATTCAATTGAGTGATCCTGCACCATTGCCAGAATTGATAATGCTGGCCTTGAAAGAGGATGATTTTGATGCGGAAGGCAATGAAAATGATGACCTCAAAGAAAAAATTGCCGAAGTAACTTTCTTAACACTAACTACTAATTTAAGGATATGTGGATTGTGCACTTCAATAATGATGTCTCAGTTGTATATAATTCAGGGATATATGGATTGTGCACTTGTCAATATCATGTTTGTATATGACCAACTTTCATGTTTTTGCTTGCTAGATGAATACTGAACTGATCAAGCAGAAAGCTGAGATGCTGGAGGAGTATTTTGGAATTTATATCGACCCAAATGGCAATTTGTCGAGGCTGCCAATCATACTTGACCAGTACACCCCCGACATGGATCGTGTTCCAGAATTTGTTCTTTGTTTGGGCAATGACGTAATTTTTATTTTTTTTTTCTTTTCAGAAATAAAAATAATAAATAAACTAATAAAATTATCCTTTTGCTAAATTTTTGGTTCATCTGGAGGGAGAGTTAATCAAGGTGTGAGATTAAAACCTCATCGTCTGAAACTCAATGTCTTCGTGTCTGGAACTTTTATGTAATGCATTATTTGCTAATAAACTCTTTCTTGTTTTTGCAGGTTAATTGGGATGATGAGAAAAAATGTTTTCAAACAATTGCTGCTGCTATTGCAAACTTCTACGCCTTGCATCCTCCATTGTTGCCTAATCCGTCAGGCGATGGCTTGAAATTTTACAAGAAAGTCCCTTCTGGCAATCTTGATGAAGGAAGTACTTCAAGGAATGCTGGTAGTAAGACTTCTATTTGAAGAATTCCTCACAAGTTTTTTTTTTTTTTTTCTCATTCAATAATGATTCCAATCTTGAAAATATATGCTATTGTAAACCAGGGGATGAAAAGGAGGACGGAACTGAGCACGAACTGCTTCTGGAGGCAGAACGTGCTTGGTCTCATCGGGAATGGTCGATACAGCACGTTTTGCTCCCATCCATGAGACTTTTTCTCAAGCCCCCAACAATAATGGCTACAAATGGGACATTTGTCAAGGTATTAGATCTTGACATTCACTTTCTATCTCTCCTCCGGTATTTAATCACCGATAATAGAATTAAATCACTCTTGCATATTATGTTATGTCTGTAGACTCTGTACTGCTTCTCATGATATGTTCGTTTTTTTCTTCTTTTTTTTTTCAAATTTAATATCTTCACTGTGCCTATTTTTTCTATCATAC